CTTGGAAACAAATTCCACAATAGGCATCAGGTCTAGACCTGGGTTTCAAGATTTGTGGTATCTGTATTTGTTTGTCTATCTAACAAATCATGCTCTTTTGCTCTGTAAACTACACTCAGGAGGCTTGCATCATTCCCTTCTCATTGTGGAACGAATGAAGCTGCTAGATGATGTCTTTCCTCCAACCAACTTTTCCTCCAATCAATTGAAGCAAACTCTTCTCTCAATTGAATTGATTACTGGTGATGTAAAACGCCTCAACCAGTTTCTTTCTGCTTGAATAAAAACCTCCCCAATCAACCTTATTCATTCTAACAAGAATCAAAACCCTAAACCCTTCAGTTAAAAACTTTTCTTCCAATCAATTGAAGTAAATTCTTCTCTCAATTGAATTGATGACTGGTGATGTAAAACGCCTCAACCAGTTTCTTTTGCTTGAATAAAAAAACCTCCCCAATCAACCTTATCCATTCTAACAAGAATCAAAACCCTAAACCCTTCAGTTAAAAACTAAGCAAAAAAGAGGAAGAGAAGAAACTCAAAACAGGAAAGGAACAGGAATTTACTGTAAAATGCAAGAATTGGTGTTTTGTGTCAAAGTCAAAGATGAAGGGAAATATTAGCGGCCCCCACTTTGAACTGATTTTGTATTCTACATTTCAACTATTTCATTGTTCTAGACCAATTTGAGTTTGGTTTACGACTGGTTAAACATAAAAACCGCCACCTCCATTTTTTATTTTAGCTTAGTTTAGTTCATAGCTTACCATCATGTTAAAACTGTTGCCATAGCTACATCTAGGCCAACACTTTTTGTGGCTGCTGGCTCTAAACCACTGGCCTAGCCCTTTTTCTTGTAGTGTTTATGCTGAGAGCAAACTCAGCTACAAAATTCCTCATATTTTCTTAAAAATTTCCTGATATTTTCAGTTATGAAGAACAAAATTTCCTTGAAACTGAAATTGCAAAATCCAAACCTTAATTAGGTTTTTAGCCAGTCTGTGTACTCAATTGGTTCCATAAGCCAAGAAAGAGAAGGGGTTAATAAACATATGGCTACACTAAGGATCACTGGAACGGGTACCGGTGGAAAAGGAAAACTGGATAGCTCATAGGGTCATCACCATGGTTGTAAGTAAGCTATGGGCATTGGCATTGCATTGGTGCTTTTTAATGCATGATTAGGGTTATGTGAAGGTTGTCATCTATATTTTAGAGACCAGACAGTTTTTGGATAACAGCTACTCTCGTTGCCCACGTTATTGCTCAAAGGGCAATTTTTTTTTTGTAGCTGATAATTGCTGGTGGTATTCACCATCATCTTAGTTGGAACAGCTAATCTGTAATATTTTTATTTGATTAGTGTTTCTCTGGTTTATCTTTCAAAAATAAGGGAGCTTGTGGATTCTTTTTCCCTTTTTTCTAGAGGGGATAAGACTTCAGGACATGATGCTTTTTGTCTTTGGTTTTATACTTCTGGACAGAGATTTGGCCCAATTGAAGGATTTTTGAGTTTTATTGTGGGAAAGGATTTGTACTTAATGGTGCATGGGGAATTTTTGGTTGTGATCATAGTCATATTTCTCTCTTCCTAGACATTGTATGGCCTTTTACTTATATAATTTGTATACTTTTCATTTGTTCTTGTTTTAAACTTTTAATATAGTATCCTTCATGGATCAAAATATGTGGAGGCAAAACCTGGTTTTCACAAGTCCATATGAACCCAGCCAATTACTGTGGCTTTAATCAACCTAATACATTATTATTTATTAATCATACAGATCCCACATGGTATTTAGAAGATTCAATCAACCATGACTTGAGTGGACTCCAAGGACTTTTTATCTTTAAAGATCAAAGAGTTACTGCACGTTGTTCTCTATAAGTACCCACTCAATATTCTATTGTGAATAAGCAATGAAATAAAAAATAAAATGCTTCAGTGTTACTGTTTGATATTTTTAATGCCAAGCCCATGAAGGTGCAGATATTTTGCTTCAAGGCATCAATTCCTATCTAGTGGTGACTCTGTTTGGCTGTATATTTTCTTCATTTTCCTTTCTCTAACGAGATGTAACTAACTGCATTAGCCAAAACAAAACACTGTGCATGAGGGTGTATGTTAAACAGTTTTTGTATGCCCTTAGCTTCAATCCGATTTGATGTACTTTTGTTATTTAGTGGAAATAAATAAAGTGCATGTTTGATTCATGTTGTTTGGTTTA